CAAAATAATGAAATTTAATGTAGAGAAAAGTAAAGTCCTACACTTAGGCAAGAAAAACCAAAAGTACACATACAGACTGGGTGAAACCAGGACTCAATAGCAGGAACTGTGACAGGGATCTTGGAGTCTTAGTGGACAACCAGCTAAATAGGAGCCAGCCGAGTGCAGCGGCAGCCAAAACAGCCAATGCAATCCTAAATTGCATTAACAGAGGGAGACATTGGAGATCAAGGGAGGTACTAATATAACTCTATAAAGCCTTAGTAAGGCCACACCTAGAGTACTGCATCCAGTTTTGGTCACCACACTATAAAAAAGAGGTTGAGGCTCTAGAAAAAGTACAGAGAAGAGCAACCAGGATGATGAGGGGACTGGAGGCTAAAACATACGATGGACGGTTGCAGGAACTGGGCCTGGCTAGTCTAGGGAAGAGAAGGACCAGGGGAGACAGGAGAGCATCTTCCAATATTTGAGGGGCTGCCTCAGAGAGGAGGAGGGGTTCAAGCTATTTTCCAAAGCACCCCAAGGCCAGACAAGGAATAATGGATGGAAACTGATCCAGGAGAGATTCAACCTGGAAATAAGGAGAAACTTTCTGACAGGGAAAACAATCAACCCATGGAATAGAAGTTGCCCTCGGAAGTTGGGGAGTTCTATCACTTGAGACTTTCAAGAAGAGATTAGACTGCCATTTGTCAGAAATGGTGTAGGGTCTCCCGCTTGGGCAGGGGGGTGGATTAGATGACCTACAAGGTCCCTTCCAACTGTGATCTGTTCATGTAACAACTTTACGTCTGTTCTCTAACCACTGGTACCATACATTCCAGATCTTATAGTATTCTGTTTCTTCTCTGTCTTTTAACTCCTTAGTTAACCTATTCATCTCTGCACACTCAAGAACCTTCCTAATATTACCATTACGTCTAAGGGATTGTCATCTTGTTTTCAGTTTTGAGCGAAGGCAATTTTGGCTGCTGTGATTATATCTATCATAATATATTGCATTTTTTTTGCAGATATTTTGTTTTAGTATGCCCAATAAAACTAGTTCTGGTTTCATCTCAATTTTTTGTTTAGTAATTTCTTCTAACCAATTCTTTACTTTTCGCAAGTATTTCCTAGCTTTTGGACAGGTCCACCACGTGTGAAAGTAAGTTCCTTGCTTATGGTTACATCTCTAGCATTTCGCTGATCTATTTGGGTGCAAACTACTGATAATTAAAGTCAATGGGGGGGAAATCCAGATTCAAGTTGTCAGAAGGTTGTCAAAGAGGATCCCATGGCCGTCGTGAAAAAGGGGCACAGCAACCATCGTAAATACACACACCCTATCTTCTGGGCTCAATTTGTGGTCCTAAGTCGGGGACCATCTCCCTCCTGATGGCTCTTCTACTAAAAAGTTTATTTTAAAAAATTAAGGTGTGGGGGGGTGAAAGTGAGAAAAGAAAAGATATAAAAATAAGGAAGCTCCAGTTTAATCAGTAGAGCAATTAAACAGGGATTTTCCAGGGCTCCGATTAATACTTTAACTATTATTTACAGTGGCTTTGCATTTAGCAGAAAAACACCTGGTTTGTTTTCATTTTTTTTAACGTGCAAAAATACTAGGTGGTCCCTCAGCTGATCAGACTCATTTTTGTACCATCAGAAAAAGCCCCAGCAATTTTCTTAGTGATTAAAAGGGGAAAATTATTCCCATATTTTTTTTCTTGGCCTTAAAAGTTCCCTTTTTTTCATCTGCATATGACTACCCTTGCCAGATAGGGCTGTTTTTTTTTCCACACCATTGTTGTGGGTCTGTCCTTCCTCTTTCACTTCTCTTAAATTGGGTTTTAATTGTTAGCAGCTTTCAGTTCCTGCTTGCTGGATAAAGGCACCTGTGAGAGATTTAAAGGCCTGGTCCTGCTGAGGAAGCTTTGTTGTGTGTCTCAAGCTTGGCAACTTTAAGATGGGTGGACTGCAACTCCCAGAATTCCCCAGAGTTGAAGTCCATCCCTCTTAAAGCAAGCTGGCTAGGGGATTCTGGGAGTTGAAGTCCTTCCATCTTAAAGCAGGCTGGCTGGGGGATTCTGGAAGTCCACCGCTCTTAAACCATGCTGGCTGGGGAATTCTGGGAGTTGAAGTCCAGTTTTCTCAGAGTTTCCAGTCTGGAGTTTCTGCTGGAAGATTGGAAGCAAGTTGTCAGGGGTCCTAACCATTTCCTAGACCCGTCGTTCCGATGTGCTGTGCTTCCGTGCTCTCTGCAATGGACCGATGTGAGTTCTAGCCCCAAAATCCAGAAGGCAAGGATGCAGGGTACATATTAAGCACTCCAAACACTCATATGTCTGGAATGGTATATAAGGTCTCCTGCTTGAGCAGGGGGTTGGACTAGAAGACCTCCAAGGTCCCTTCCAACTCTGTTAATCTGTATCTGCTGTTTTCAGTGCCGTTGTAATTTCCAACGGTCACTAAATGAACTGTTCTAAGTTGAGGACTTTCCATAACTACACACGTGCTGACAAAAGCCAACCTGTTTCACGCTGCATTCCCACCACCTGTTTATCCTAAGGAATTAATTTTGGGGGTTCCTCATCAGAAACATATCATTCAGTCTGAGTTTATTTGCACTACGTAGCTGAACCAGGAATAATAATAATAATAATAGTAATAATAGTAATAGTAATAATAGTAATAATAATAATAATAATACTCTAGCTGAAAGCCAACCGAGCCTGTGATATAAAGGCAGGAATTAAGTTTATGATTGACCTGGTTCTACGTGCTGCCTGAACCCAGAGGTGTGCAATACTCCGAGATACCTTTGTCCATTTTTAATCCCAATATTGCACACTTCTCCGGTCGGCACGTAGACACCTATTTTCTGGTAAACAGAAGGCGCCAGAGCTGTTCATGACCCTCCGTGTTTCTGAGTAAATTTTCAATGGGAAGGCTGGGCCCAAATATTTGATTGCTTCGTACAAACAAAGATTGGAAAAGTAGGCCCTGGTGTGTAACCTTGGGGCGCCCAAATTGCTAGACCTTCACGTCTGCCTTGCCAACAGCTTGTTTTGATGTCTGGGGGATGTTTTTCCACTCCCTCCCCAAATTGCTTCTCCTTGACCCTGTGAAATTTCTGCCAAAATGATGGGAATGATGTTCTGGTCCCCTGATAACTGGGCCTTCAGGGGTTTAGGGGGGTTAGAACAGGGGCGTCCAACTTCAGCGGTGTTAAGATTTTGTGGAGTCCAGCCATCTTAAAGGATGCTGGCTGGGGGATTCTGGGTGTTGAAGCCCACCCCTCTTAAAGCAGGCTGGCTGGGGGATTCTGAGAGTTGAAATCCAGCCCTCTTCAAAGAGGCTGGCTGGGGGATTCTGGGAGTTGAAGTCCACCCCTGTTAAAGCAGTCTGGCTGGGGGATTCTGGGAGTTGAAGTCCTCCCATCTTAAAGCAGGCTGGCTGGGGGATTCTGGGAGTTGAAGTCTTCCCATCTTAAAGCAGGCTGGCTGGGGGATTCTGGGTGTTGAAGCCCACCCCTCTTAAAGCAGGCTGGCTGGGAGATTCTGGGAGTTGAAATCCAGCCCTCTTCAAAGAGGCTGGCTGGGGGATTCTGGGAGTTGAAGTCCACCCC